TCAGCCTGAGCTGTAAATGCTTCTCAGCACAGCTTGGTGAGCAAAGCCCAGCGCAGGAGGGATGGGGCCATGCCTTGTGCACAGAGGAGCTCCCCAACGTGGGGCAGGTCAGTGAATCACCGCCTGCTTTCTCCTGCCCACTCCCAAGGGATGCAAAGACACACTCCAGGAGCACCTCCCAACGGCTCTCACCTGCCAGGGCAGGTTTCTTCTCCTCTCAAAGGTATAGCAGAGAGATCTGGCACTGATGAAGTGCTCGAGGGGGTGGTCCCAGCACAGGGTGAGCGGTGCTGGCCGTACAGGGGGGCGAGCCATGCAGCTGGTGTTCAGGGACACGTGTCCCATCTTTGCAGGGTGGCCACGGTGGGGTTTCACAGGGCCAGGCTGCCGTGCCTGGGGACAGCCTTCTGCCGCCATCTGAGGTCGCGTCAGGCTGTGTCCCCTGCAAGTGCCCTAGAGAAGGGGGGTACAGGACTACATGGGCGCTTGCTCTGCCCCGTAGGACCATCATACCGTGGCAAAGCCCAGCATGACCTGCCTGCTGGCTGGCTGGACACCCCAAGGAACAGAGCTCAACCCCCAACTTCTGTGTTGGCTTTCAGTTGCTGACTGCAAAGCACCGCCGGAGCTGGAGCACGGCTTTGTCACCTTCTCCTCCAGGAACAACCTCACCACCTACCGAGCAGCCATCCAGTACCACTGCCAGCACCCCTACTACCACATGGCCCCCAACAGCACTGGTGAGCGGTGGGGCTGAGCCATGTCCCCACAGCATGCTGCGGGTGGGCGTGTGGCTGTGCGAGTGGGTGTTTGCAAGCTGGGGGGGTCGCCTGGGATGGCTGCTCCGGGATGCTCTGCAAGCAGCAGGCTGGGGATGCAGCCTACACACGTTGTACCCTGCATCTGCACTGCCCGGATTGTCAGACTGGCTGCATCCTGCTCTGCAACAAGGTAGGGGGGAGTGAGCATTGCCTTGTGCTTTGTCCATGTATTTCGTAGCCTTGGCAGAGCAGTGTGGCTTCTCTCCTGCCTTCTCACCCTGCCATCAGCTCCCTGCAGCGTATGAAATTTCCCTGTGTCTCTGTGAAAGGAGCTGCTGCTGGAGAGAGCACCAGGTCCAGCAGCCCCAGAAAGGGCTCCACAAGGCTCCCCATCCCAGCACACAAACGTCCTGAGTAGCCAAAGCTGAACAGACAGCAGTGGGACCATGGCAGAATGGGTTTCCACCTTATCCCCCGGGTCCACAACAACAGAGACCCCATAAGGTGCTGTGCCAAGCACCCCAGGTGTCCACACCCTCCAGACCCAGCTCTGGACAGCAGAAGGGGTGTGCACGCACAGCCCAGCCCTCCTTCCTCCTCCTCCTCCCTCAGCAAGCAAAGCCAAAGGATTTCCTCACATTCCTGCCTCCCTGCTCACATCCCCCTGCACACCCACAGGCCCCGTGCATCCGATCCCAGTATCCGGTGTGCATTACTGGGATGGGCACTGGCAGCGTTAATGGGGTGGCAGCTCCCAGCCAAGGCTGAGGGCACAGCACAGCCCTCCTGAAGGCGATGAAACTGAGGATGGTGACATGTCCCCTGCTGGGGACGTGGCTGCCAGGGTCCCCCAGGGAATGGAGCACAGAGAGCGTAAAAGGGAGGTCACCTCCTGCTCTGGAAAAGGGTTCAAAGGGTCCTGACAGCTGGGCAACATCTCGCTGCAGGAGACAACCTCTCATGCCAGGGCCACAGCCCAGATAATGCTTTGCTCTCTTCCAGCCACCTACACGTGCGACGCAACGGGTGTTTGGAGGAGTGAGGAGCTGGGGACCAAGCTGCCATCCTGCCGACCAGGTATGAGTGCTGGGGCAGCCAGTTCCCTGCTGCAAAGGGTGTGGAGCAGGGACACTGAGGTGGGGGATGCCTCCTTGCCAGACATGACCTGCTGCTTCCCTAGGCAAGGACCCTGCTCCCTGGTGACAACGCCATATGTCTTGGCTACACGTAACCAATTGCTCCAATAGATGGTTGGGAGGCTGATGGGGACAGAGGCCTGTCACCCAGCTGGCCCAGACGGTCAGGGTGCAGTGGTGGCACTGGGCAGCAGTGATGAGGGCACGTCTCCCTGGCAGTGTAGGTCAGCAGCAGAGTCACAGCCATCAGGGTTCCCCGAGCTCCCTGCTCCAGCAGACAAGGAAACCAGCAGCCCCAGCAACCCAGGGCAGAGCCCACTGGCCATGTTCAGCCCCCAGCATCGCTGGAGATGGCTCCAGCCAAAGGCAGAGCGTCACCTGCCCAGCGCCGCTGGCTGTCAGCTCTCATTAGCAGCATGTCCACATGCAGGAGCAATTAGCACGTCTCTGAGCCTTGCAGAAATACCCAGCCACTTTGCAAGGAAGGGAAAGTCCCAAGCCTTTGAGCAGTGGCAGACATGTTTGCAGCCAACAAGTTTTCAGGCCAGACACCCACTCAGGATTAAACAAAAGTCCCTGGAACATTGGCTGGCCGCAGCCGAGCATGGAGCCAGGTCTGGCTGCCAGGCGGGGGGGTGGAGGCAGCCCCGGGTGCGGGCTGCGGTGGGATGTGCAGGGACGGCTCTCCGGAGAGATGTGGGGACACGGCTGCTGTGCAGCAGCTGCAGCTCCAGCCACCCCAGGGTTAGGAGGTGGCTTAGCCCCGTGGCAGATCTTGTAGGGCATCTGCTCTCTGGCCGCACCGAGCAACTGCAAGAGCAGAGGAGGGACCTCCTCAGATTCTCTGTAGCCCACAGAGCTCTGAGACCAGGGCTGTGGCTGCTCTTGTTGCGGCGGCTGCTCCCTGCATCTCTCCTTGATGTTTCAGCCTGAACTAATTTGAGCTGGGAGCATATGGGGACATCTTTTGGGGCCATAGCTGCTTTCATGGGCCATTTCCAGACCTCCTGATTAGTGACAGAAGTCAGAGAGACTTCAGGAAAATGGAAAATCCCAGAGAGAGGGTGACGATCTCCTGAGATTGGGATCCGCAGGCAGCAGCTGGCCAGCTGCTCTTCAGATCTTCCCCCTTGTCTCACGCCACCTCCTCATCAATAAAAACTCCTCTTCCAGGCCGTTCTGCGCCTTCCTCTACCATTAGTGGGAGCATTTGCAGCCTGGTCAGCATTTTTGATATGTAATTTAATAGAATAAATATTTGGCTGGATGCACTTCTTCCAAAACCATCTCCCTGGGACGGCCGTCAGCGTCGGTGCAGCCGACCAGCTGGGCTGGGCTGGGATGAAGGAATTATTTGCCTGAGCACGTTTTCTATTCCTCGCAGCACTGGGAAAGGCAGGGGAGCGAAGCAGACGCAGAGACGCTCACCATTGCACTGGGAAAGGCAGGGGAGCGAAGCAGGCACAGAGACGCTCACCACGCTCCCTCCCTGCTGGAGTCACAGTTTTCCTAGCAGCAGACACCAGCTGCAACAAATCCATGTTAGGAGCTCCTGTCCTGGCTGCAAGGCTGGCTCTCAGTCCTGATCCCATCGCCCTGGGGGTCAGACCCTCTTTCTGTGAGGCTCTGAATCCTCCCCTTCCAGCAGAGGGGGCATTGGGGCAGAGTCCGGGCAGTTTCCGCAGAGGACATGGGTTCCCCTTGGAGACTCGGAGGGATGAGACCAGCACCTGTGCTGCTGTGATTCAGGATTCTTCCAGCTGTAGAAGAACAAGCCCAAATCAGCTCCCACAACGTCCCAGTGACGTTGGCATCCCCAAGCTTTGACCACCCTGGGAGTCCCCCTCCACAGTGCTGCCACAGGCATGAACCAGCCACACCACCACCACCACCCAAGGCTCAAGTTCCCCAGGGACAGGAGTGTCCCTGCCCACCCTGTCCAACCCTCTCAGAGCCACCTTCAGCATGCTGAGTGCCTCCTCTTCCTCACACTGGATCATAGTGCCTGGATAAACCCCTGGGGGTAAACCAGGCAGCAGTTCAGGGCTTTTCAAACATTAATTCTGGGTCCGTTGAGGAGCTGAGCAGAGGGATGCTGGTTTGGCTGCCAGAATTGTGGTGAGGACTTGAGATGCAGGCTTAAAACCCCTGGTGCTAAGCAACATCCCGCAGCCAAGCCTTCTCCAGCCACAGCTCCTCTGGGAGGGCAAATGCCATGGCCATGAGACCACAGACCTCGTGACGGGTCTCGGAGTGAGGGGTGAGGCTGGGCTGATGTCAGGCTCCAGTCCTCCCAGCAGTGTTCCCCTGGGTTTCTGGGCACACTGAGCAGGAGCCAGACAAGTGGCTGGATGGCCTGGGAAGAGCTGAGCGAGCTCATGGGGAATGGTGAGGCTGCAGGATTACTCATTTGGCCTTTCTGCTTCTGAAATGGTGTGGATCCAGCCAAACCATTCCAGAAACTGAACTGCAAAGTGAGGAATTGCAAAGTGCAGGCTGGCCCTCAAGCCATCTGCTTGTCCCACCTCCCAGCTCAACTGCACAACAATCCGTTAAGTCACAGCCCTGTTTCACTGCAATGCAACCTTGGCAGAAATCATAGCATCTGCCAGGTCTTCAACATAGCCAAAGGATCCCTCCACTTCCCCTTCCCTAAGGAATCTTGTAGCGCCGTGGTCCTCATCTGGAGCACAAACCAGATCGGTGTAAACCGAGACTAAGATCTAATCCTACTTAGAGTGCTTGAAGTCCCACCCTGGCTCACATGTTCTGCTGGATCCATGCCAGACTTCAGTGTCAGGAGATCTGGTACAGCTTTGGGGTAGATAAACCCAGATGGAAACCTCCCTAGTGTGCTATACACAATTCCGACTGTCCATACCCATGCCCAAGTGGGCAACAGCCACTCTTTACAGCAGATGAGCCTGCTATTTGCAGAGTAAATCCCGCAGCCACTATGGAGTGGAGGTCCAGCGCACACCATCCCTTGGCACAAGCCCACCCTTTCCATCAAGAGGTCTCCACCTCCCCTCATGACAGGTCCTGTCAGCATAGGGGATGGGGTGCAACGCCCAGCCTGCTCGAAGCTCTGAAGTACACTCTGCCAGGAGAAGGTGGAGATGGCAGGGAGGATGGACTTTATCCACCAAGAAAAGGAGAAGAGTTGCCCTCTATGGAAAAAAAAAGACACAAGTGAGCATTTGGTTTGAAGATAACCAGCCATGTGGCATAATCTACAGGAATGTCCCTTTTCATTTGTTCCCTAGGTAAGCACAAGGAGTAACTGTCCTGTCCTTTTTGTCCCTAGTGTGCGGCCGGCCAGCTCGTCCTCTGCCTGGTATCATCAAGCGTATCATTGGTGGGCGAAATGCAGAACCTGGCTTCTTCCCCTGGCAGGCCCTGATCGTGGTGGAGGACATGTCCCGGGTGCCCAACGACAAATGGTTTGGCAGTGGGGCGCTGCTCTCAGACTCCTGGGTGCTGACGGCCGCCCACGTGCTCCGCTCCCAGCGGCGAGACAAGACTGTCATCCCTGTCTCCAAGGAGCACGTCACCGTCTACCTGGCCCTTCATGATGTGAGGAACAAGATGGAGGCCATCAACCGGACAGTGGAGAGGATCATCCTCCACGAGGAGTTTGACATCCAGAACTACAACCATGACATTGCTCTGGTCAAGCTGAAGGAGAAGGTGACCATGGGGAACTACGTCATGCCTGTCTGCCTGCCCCAGTTTGAGCACGAGCTGGAGGGGCCTCACCCCAACACGCTGGGGCTGGTGGCTGGCTGGGGCATCTCCAACCCCAACATCACAGTGGATGAGATCATCAGCTCAGGCATGAGGACACTGTCCGACATCCTCCAGTACGTCAAACTGCCAGTGGTGCTGCACGCAGAGTGCAAGACCAGCTACGAGTCGCGGTCGGGGAACTACAGCGTGACCGAGAACATGTTCTGCGCCGGCTACTACGAGGGTGGGAAGGACACTTGCTTGGGAGACAGTGGGGGAGCCTTTGTCATCCAGGACCCAGGAACCCGGAGGTGGGTGGCCCAAGGGCTGGTCTCCTGGGGTGGCCCAGAGGAGTGCGGCAGCAAGCAGGTGTACGGTGTGTACACCAAAGTCTCCAACTATGTGGACTGGGTAGAGAAGAAAACAGGCTCCTCGGAGAGGTGGACATTTCTGGACCCGGAGCTGGAGAGATGAGTGACTAAGCAGCCTGCTGCTGCCGCAGCTTCCTTTCTTGTTGATGTTGTTTAATGTGCTCCAGACTCTGGTCTTTCGCAAGCAGTAGCCACGATGCTCAGCGCACGCCAGGCCTTTGCCAGCCCTCCACGTCATTTGTTTCGCTTGGTTCCACATCCCTTCACTTGTGCTCTTACGAAACGCTTGCTAGGGAGCTGGAAGAAGGGAGCAGAGGGCAAGATCTCAGCCAGCGTCCTCAGCTTGTGCTGCCCATCTCCAAACTTCATCCACCCTCCCGAGGACCCTCCCTCCAAGCCAGGACAAAGGCACAGCGATGGAGGCAGCATTTTCCTGCCACCACAGCTTTGGGCCACGCACAGAGAATTGCTCCCACCCCCAGGCTCTCTGGCCAGATCTTCCCATCAGACGATGCAACTGCGGGAACTACAGAGGCTACGGACAGGGCAGGAAACCCAGCTGGGCAGGCCTGGACCTCATGGGTCCCCCATGCTGTGGTACAACTTTTCCGTGCAAGGAGTAGTGAGAGAGCCCTGGGGGTTTGCTAATATTTTTATTTGCAAACAAACATCCCTGCCTGATGGCCTCCCAGGTGGTGTCCACCTGGCCCCGGGGATGGGAGGATGCATCCACATTAGCCCTAAACTTCAGCTATGGCTGGAAAGCTAGTGGCTTCCAATATGGCACCAACCCAAATGGACTACCCTCACCCCACCACAGAGGACACAAGGACCAGGAGCGGGGTTTGGACTCAGTGTCACCCTCACCTCCAGCCACCAAAACTTTTCCAACCCTCCGCCACCTCAAACCCTCTCCAGTCCTTCCCCAGACTAACTCTTGGAATGGTTTCCAGCCACAGCAGACCTCCCAAGGAAAGTTTTCCAAAACACGAGATAGCGTCACATCTGCTGTACTTAAGCAATACTTATTTTCATCAGAATAATTTCAGATAAAATGCCCCTTCTTGGGGTTTCACCTCTTCTTTAGGAGCCTGGGTAGTCCCGCATGGCATTGCATCATTCTTGCAAAAACCTAGTCCCTTTTAGCTGTTTTTAAGGCCATTGATTTGGCTGACTTACAGATTCCTGATGGTGTTCAGTGTTTGTTCGTGGCTCTTCTGGCCTATTGCAGGAGTCTAAGTCATTCTAGACTGACCCCAACTCACTCAGCACCCCAGAAGTAGCCATACCTCCCCAGCCTCCCTCCGTGCCCATGCACACAAGTAAGCCCCACCAAGGAGCAAGGTCAGGTGAGCTTACCTTCCTTCAGCAGGGACATCATCTCCTTCCCTTGCCAGCAAAGCCCTCCTATAGCTGTAAGCAACATGCAGAAATCGCCTGCTGTCTTCTCTGCGCGCCTGTAGCCTCCTTGGGTCCTGTCCTCCTCCTCCTCTTCCTTTGGTTTTGCCACACGAGGAAGGGGTCAGCGGTGAATGAGCCACTCTGCCATTTTGCTATCGTCCAAAAAGCCATTTGTAGGGCATGTAGAGGAGCAGAAGGCCTAAGGAAGGTCAAACTTGCAGACACACTAAGAACTGTACTCTTGGCTATGTCATGTAACTGCAAGGTATTTATATATATATATATATTTCTTTTTTGATACTACATTCTGTAAAATATCCGATGTCATGTAAGGATGGTTCTGTGTAATCTTCCTCTTGAGAACAAAATAAAACTTTGATATGTACCAAGTTTGTGTCCTGAGGCTTTTATTCCAAGAGGAACGTGGTCAAGGCTGGTTGCTGGTCTCTGCCTGCGCTTCCGGGGGGATTCTCACGCTGTCCCTCACCCCGGCGGCCGCTCCGCC